TATATATATATATATATNTAATATATATATATATATATATATATATATATATATATATATATATATATATAAGTATAGTATTCATCTACATATATATAATCGTATATGCATGTGTGTATGTGTATGTGTGTATGTGTGGTTGTGTACCTGTGTGTGCATGCATGTGTTTGGACGCATGTATTCTGCAGATATTACTATCTAACATAACCTAATTATATACATGTCGAACTGGGGCATGTAATAAGAAAAAAAACGTGTGTAAGTGTATTTGTGTACATGTATGTGCGCGTGTTTATGTGTGTATGTGTATGTGTGTGTGTCAGTGTGTGCACATACAAAATTGTCGTATTGAACATTATATATTGGGTCACGCTCATATCAAACACATAAACCTATATAGAATTCCTCTCTAGACATTTTCATGAGCAGGCACACATTCGGTGCACCTCTGCAACTCCCAGAACAAACCTACATCAGTGCCAACACACATCAACCCATATACGTGTACACATTAGAAATCATACGGCATGCAAAAAAAAAATTTACATCCTTTCCAGTATCCCATGCATCAGTAAACGTACCTATATAGGAAGTAAGTCCCTCAGAAGCTCTCATGTACTGCATGCCTTCCTTCGGCGGCAGTTGAGGCTGTCCCATCATCCCTTCAAATGCACAGATGAAACACTTTGCGACGGAGATGCAACCCTTTGCAACGACTTACGTGTGAGATTGTAAGTGAAGGAAAGCACACTGTTTGACTTAGATGTGCATGGGGATTGTGTTTCGAAGCAGCGGAGCGCTGTTTGGCACCGGATATTTCCGATTGTGTACAGATAAATCCCAATGACAAGCAGATAGATACGTACGTCAAACCATATACATTTGTATGTGATACGACGCCGTACACGAATGTATACAATACCTATATTACCTGACGCGTATGAATGTGATATTCAATATTTACCTTTATTACACACATACACTGATGACTGACATACATATGTGAAATTTTTTTTCTCAAAAATATGAACTCTATGTATTGAAAGTAAAAGTCTCGAGAGAGCCCGCCTTTTCGAATAAAAACTCGTGCAACGGATTTCTCACCGCCGGGATGTTCGGTACAGTAAACATGGTTTTTAATCCATCTATGGCATTTCTTTTTCATAAGTAAATACTGTATGTGAATATGTATGTGTGATTACACACAGTCGCTGTGTCACACAATATTTGGAGTGTGGTCTGCTTTCTGAAGTTTTTTATTACATACTACTTCTTATCGGACGTATCAGCACCTATAAATATGAATAATAAAAAGCAAGAGAAGAAGTGCTACATATATGTAAATAATAAATAAACAAAGATCCCAATAAGCGCTCAGGAAGATTCGGCGGTTTATACTATTTGCAATTTGAAACTATGATATATTTTGTCGGTATCTATTACAATATCAATAACTTGATGTGACTTGCAAAAGTCCTTGGATTTTTTTGTGCGTCATATCGAATCTTCTATCATCCACCTGACCCCTGGTACCTAGAGGGTGGCCAAAAGGTGAAATAGTCAGACATCGCACGCCCTGTCGTACATTGAGAGGGTCAGCTTGCACCTATTTGGAGAGCTTCGGGCAATTCGAAGGGGGTGATACTAAGCCAGAACGTCCTTGGTGTAATCATCGATAGACGCAGTCGGACTCACTAGGCACATCCCCACAGCAGTCTGATCCACTATGCATATCCTCGTAGCTGAGGACATACGAGACCTCTCCGCACAGTTTAACCTGCCGGAAAGGCAACTAACAGAGTTTCTGTTGTCTGTGGAAGGACTGCGCACACTGAAGTATGTGCATGCTGCAGCTCATATGATAGTGTACGTACACAAGTCTCAAGCGTACACAGGCGAGTGTATACACGCGACATACATATGTATACATGTTTTTATATGCACAGTGTCATTTCCTTTTATCTCCGCATCGATCCGTATACGTGTACACCCTACAGATATTTATTTTATATATTCGCTTGGTTCCTAAGTAAATATGTGAACCTCTCTGAGAGCATCGCTGTTCACGTCAACTTGATGTCTCCAAAACGTTCATGTATACACGTTACTACAAACACTGTTGGGCATTCGCAGAGCTCTATATACGTACGTACACAACGTACATATATGTGAGGCTACGTTTGTATCTGCCCGCACATTTTTATTTATCATTACCCGCATCACCTGGTGGTTGGCAATCGATCCAATATTGAGTGTAGGGTTGGCACATATAGACGATCGAAGCTCTGCATATACATATACTTATTTGTTCGTAGACTTTATCGCAGTAGCATACAGGCGAACATCACCTGTACACATCTATGCAAGGTCTCCACTAGGTTGTTTGTTCTCCCATTCGAAGCTAATTTGGTCGTGCACAACGGCTACTCTAGTATATTGTGTGTGTACACTTATTCTATGTCGCACGGTCGCTGTCACATCAACTACAAGTCGTTCTACTGCATCGGCACCATATAGAATATCACGAATATCATAAACTCTCTATGATACAACACACACACACACACACACACACACACACACACACGTACACACATTGCACTCTTCGTCCTGTGAAGAACCTCCGTTGTCACACCCGGTTGACTCAACCCACTCTATCCCCACCCATGCCACAACAGAGCCAGCCAACTAAGGGACATTCTCAGACAAGTGCAGGTTAAATTGCAGCGCACCATTCTAGTACGTGTGTTGGGTGTGCACACCCACGTGTGTGCACTTACATGTAGCTGTAGCGTCTGAAACTATGGCTTTTGGGGTAGTTACTTGGTGTTTGTTGAGCCTGTACATGTACGTCTACACTCTTGTGGCCATGCCCAGTTTCTCGTGCTTCCTCTACTTCTATCGAGTGTACACTCTACGGACATTGGTATTCAATTTTGGATATTCGTGTGCTTGTGTAAAATACACATGTGCATTGTTGTGCTTGCACACCTACAAATATATCTACACGTAGGAACAATATGTACGGGTATCGTGTTGTTGAGATAGATTGCTATCGATGTTTTGTACAGGCGTAGCTGCCGTCTCTGCTCCTGTTGGTGGCCTGGAAACACTTGCACACGAAAGTTGTGTCTCATCTGAGCAATGGCAGACGCAGGAGTGTGGGGCGCAGACACTACTGGCTCTAACCTATAAGAGTTGCGTATATATTAGCTTAGTTTGATTGTACGGGTTCGCGCACAATCCCTGTGGACTAGGTTGGATATAACGCAGCTAACGTAGTATTGGGCATGTTATGTATGTACTACAGTTGTCCGGTACGAAGCTGGTGCTGGTGCAACGCCTCTCCGGGCTCTTACACGAGAGAGGTTCAGAGAAGAGACACGGGATGTGTGGTGAAGAAGATGCTGACCACGACACATGCAAGAGACGAAGGTGTGTCGCACGTACGCAAGCACTCCAGTGTGTGCACACGTAGCCTCTATAGTCTTCTAATAACACATGAAGCAGAACAACCCCACACACCAGCCGAGGCTCTCATCTCCACAACTTCGCCCTATGCATTGTATCTGGAGCTAGGGAATGATTCTCCGAATGGCCCTTCCAACACTGTTCAGCCAGCCGGCAGTACGGCGAGTTTCCATGTCCACTGGGAACGGCATATCGGGCGCAAACTCAGCGTCCACCCAACACAACACGCAACTTCACTAGTTCTGTAGATGCGGATATATGTACACACAAGGTTCGGTACTTTCGCCTATCTGGTGGCTTTGTTTCGTATGTGTGTCTCTTACATGAGCACTACTATGAGGGGAAGTCACTGGCGGTGCGGGCCACCAACCACACCGACTGTGCGGCTATACACACAACTGCGTACAAGACAAGCTCATCCGATGCACGCACTACGGCAGCCCGTTCCAGATTCTAAAGCCGTATGCATAGCTCCATGTATTTATGCTATGTGTGTGTGTCACGTGTGACCTTCGTGTATGTATGTGTCAAGGTAAGCTTTGACCTACAGTTTATACCCATCCACTCGTACCCCCAGACCGTCCGTGAGTGAGTCATCGTCCGGTGACGTTACGGTGGGTGGTGCTGCCGCAGGCGCGCACGACAGTTCGGTACTGCGCCGCTTTGACACAACACGCTCTCCGCTGTATGCGCTGCTGTCTGTGGTGGCCGTTGTGCCTTACGGACACAGCGACGGAGGCTGCCATAGGTAAGTACATAGCCACTCCGTCCTTGCTCATGTGTACTCTAGATCCTGATAAGGGATTTTGATTGGCCGTGAATATACAAGGCGTAGATCTGTATGGGAGGCTTGCGCCGGTGCGTGCGCAGTGGGGTCTGAGGGCGATAGATCTCTTCGGTACAATAGTTAAGTATGACCCAGCCCAAGCCCATTTACGCTCGCAATGTGCAAACATTTTACGACAAATACAATCCGACAAAAACTAAACGACAAGTACTGTACGGTACGACAATTGCGATACGACAAATACTGCACGATAAACAATGTACGGCAAATACTATATGATACTGTACTCGCGTGTAAGTGGCCAACGGATGTCTGAAGTGGCATCCGTGTGTCAGTATACACGACAGCCAAGTTTGCGCCACTGTTAGTGGCACACTGTACCGAGCAGCACACCGATGACTGTCCTTATTCGAGACCTGTCCTCGTTTGAGGTTTGTCCTCGTTTGAGGCCAGTCCTCGTTTGAGGCCTGTCCTCGTATGAGACCTGTCCTCGTTTGAGACCTTTCCTCGTTTGAAGCCTGTCCTCGTTTGAGGCCTGTCCTCGTTTGAG